TACTGATGGTGAGGATTGCGATGCATAAACATCATCAAGATTCTTTGTAGAATTGTCTATTCAATAATTAGGGGAAGTTATAAAAAACAATTAAATTTGTGGTAACAACTATTGCCAACCGAATAGTCCGTAGTGAAAGAGATCACAAACAAACTTCCGCTGCAGATATTCAACAAAAGTCCTAAACAGTCATAATCATCTCAATTTACACAGATGCTGCTGCAAAATATGACTTAATGAGGAATCTTGAGCATATGTTTGGGTAACAGTAGATAAAACTAATCCTGTTGGACTCGGATTTCAGCGCCGCATGTCACATTACCGGCCGTATTGCCTGTTGCGCTGGCAAAAACGGTGACATTTCGTTTATCAACATGGATAGTGCGACAGTCAAAACCGCCTTCTCTATGCCTCGGCTGAAGCTAACCGCGGTAGCCTTCAGCTCAGATGGAAACAGGCTGGCAATTTCCTCCTATTCGGGTCACATCCTGGTGAGATGTGCAAAATCCAAACCTTGACCCCCTCTTCCTTAGATGGGAACATTAATTCAGACAGAGGATAATGAAAAGCCGTCTCAGTTCGATCTCAGAGATAGGCAGCGATTGCAAAGAGGATCTGTGCTCTGCGTTGATTGGCATTTTGCCGGCGAATGCATCGCAGCTGGCGGTCTAGACGGCTTTGTGTGCACTTTCGCGCCAGTAAAGTCGTTGGCAGTGGATGTTTTACGTGGTCACCGAGGTGGAGTTAATTGTGTACAGTTTTTGCCCAATGGACACGTTCTTCTCAGTGCCTCGTCTGATAGGCGAGTGTTGCTGTGGGACGTTCGATCGGTAGGTGGTCTGTTTATTTGGACAATTGAGGTGAGCATATTTAGGGGATAAGAGAAAGGCGATTTGAGAGCCATGGAGCACCTGTTATGGGAGTGACCTTCTTGGATGACGATTTAACCTTTGCTTCCTGCGACTCTAGTGGAGTGGTGCTGAAGTGGGACCTTCGCAATGGTAGCCGGGAGGTCCAACTTGCTGATGAAATGTCCTATGGTCATGGGAGAAATTGCATCTGTTATTCACCTGAGAGAAATTGCCTTTTGACAGGAAACACAGATGGAAGTGTAACATTTGTTAATCTGATCACCAATAAGGTAAGGTGTGGTAACATAAGGTCCAGATTTTTTTATATAAAAAGAGTTGATTCCACTGTCAAGGGCGTGGAATTATCCACATGATTACGTTACATTCTATGCTGTCAACTTCGAAGCATTGCTCTCCGCCGCACGGCACGATTTCGTTAGCACTGTCTTTGACGAACGGCATTCACAGTCCAAACTTTTTTGGCAGACGTGTAAATGACAGTCTGTAACCATTCAATCCTTGGAAATAGCGGCTTATTTATCAAACTCTTAACAAGGAGAGAGTAATCTTCTACAATTTGCTTCAAAATGCTCGAAGTTTGAGGGTACATTTTTTTCATTTCTACACATCCATCAACAGCCGCTGTTGAATACTGCTTAAAATTGCAATCAGTGAGATTTTGACCAAAATTGCGTGAACACTTACTGACTCAATTCGAAGGTGCAATGGGTGTTGAGAATTGAGTTTTTTGTTCGAATTTTCAACTCTTTTTCCTCCATCGAGGCTGGATATGTGCCTCAAATACACCAAGTTCTATTTAAATGTCTAACCCTTGCATAAGACTTTTACTGCGGCTTGTGCAAGTCCACCTCAAATTCGCGTTACAGCAACGCATATTTGTACAACAAGGTCTTTGGTTCGTCTCTGATTTCAGGCCTTACTACAGGCGATCCACGAACACAGACTTGCTTCTACCACTTTTGCCATACGCATTTGTGGAATTGATGATCCTGATTGTGTGCCCAGTCAACCTGAATACGCTTTGTTGCAGACGCACTCGCCTCACAAAGGCATGTTTGCACAGACCTGAATTCACGAACAGCTTGCGTACAGAAGTGAAAGGTGCCATCACTTCTGCCATCTCACTTAATTCTCGTGAATGCTAATTACCATGTTCATCCTGCAGTGTTTTGTTTGGTCCGGCCAAATAATTCGTCTTTGCACTATCAATACCATATTTTTTTCCTTTGTTTTACTCCGCTTTCCTAATTTTCCTTTATTTGATCGGGAAAGAATATCCCATCGAGCCAATATGCACACCACACTTTTTAGAAGACATCACACGAGCAAATGAATTTACGCATTTTTCCAGCTCCCTGTTTATTCGGAGAGAGCAAGGTTCAATTGTAGGTTGATGTACAATGAAGTAGGGATTCGCACAATTCCGATGTTCATCCCCAGGTGAGGCTGTGACACTCCGTATATGCAACAGCCGTCCCTTCAAAGACAAGAGGCAAAGTGTACTGCTAAAGAGAGGAGTTCAGTCCTCTCGATGTTGACGTTTCTTTGCCTGCGCAGTAGTGGAACTGTGAAACATAGGGTCGTACAAAAAAGCTCACAGTTATGAATAAACAGTTAAGGCTTAAAACCACCACAATTGTTTATGGAATGTAGTGTTTTTAAACACTAGGGCGTGTGAGAATGTTACAGTTATACACTTCACAAAGAGAAAACTGTGATACTTTACTGAGCGCCGGCATGATGGAGAGCCACTTCACTGAGTTCCTCCATTTTCAAAAAGTAAGCTCAATCTTCTTTTTCACAACCACCTAACTACTGACTTTAGCACCTTGTGAGCTTTTGTTTGGTAAGGAAACCTTCTAGAAGTCATTGCAACTTGAAGTGATAGCCTTAAACATCCAGACCTTGTGGTTGACCTTACGCAACTCCGGATTCGGTGAGCACACGCTGTACAACCTTTATGAAAATTGTTCGCTTCCTTAGCCTTCTGCGAAAATTTCCGCAGGCGCATATAAGCCAAGTCAAGTACACA